ATGATTTATTTTTCGCTATTTCAAATACTTCAGCAAATGTTATTTCAACTTTACTACTGTTAATTTATAAAATTACTGTATTAAAAGCCAAAGCAGATCTGTTGCGACATCTTTGTTGCGTTTTGGTATAATCATTCCATCTAGTAAAAAGCATTAATAAAACCAAAGAACTGTCCCTTTCAAACTAGATATCGTTTTGATTAATACAGTTTGATTGATATAGATGTTTTACAGCCGCCTTTTAGTTATTGTCCATATTCTCAACTGTATTGAGAGAAAAGTTAGAAACAGTCAGTTTCTAGGACTGCTCGCGTAGTGAGGGTACGGTCGGTTCAAGTTTCCAAGTTCTTTTCTGAATAGTATGTCGGTTTTAGTCAATATCAGAGTGCAACAAACTCAAGACTGTGGTGATTCTATTGGATTTTCTTCTGCGTGATCTTCATGTCTCCTTACTTGAAATTTGTGCTTTACGCTGAAAGTACAGTAAGCACAAATTAGGTGAGAACAGATCGAATTACTTCAGTTAAGATCCCCGTGGTAGAAACTCTTCTCAGTAACAATAATTCGGATCTTGTCAAACATTGCAGGGAATATCGACAAGTAGGGTGACGAAATTTGTTTTTGATTCAATCATAATCCATTCGCCCATTCAGTCACAATAGTTGTCAAAAAGGCGCTGTTCATATTTATTCGATGGCTTTTGTTGTTGTTGAGCGAACATATGATGCACTTTCAAATACATCGAGTATAATAAATAGAGTGTTGTCTGATTATTAATATACATCTTAACAGTAGAAAGGTCTAAAAGTCTGCTACACCATCCCGTAAACGAAGCAACTACAGTATACTGCCACAATAGCTTTTTATAGATGAAAATTTTTTCACGTTCAAACTTCCATACATTACAACTTCTATATATCCAGACACACAATCATTTACACATTTAGATATACCGCTTTCTAGATTTACAGGCTTTTAGGCTTTTAGACATTTAGATCGTTACATATTTAGAGTTTTAAGCTTTTAAGACTGGTTTTCCATGAAATCTTTCGGAAACCTTGTAGTTTTTGCTGAAAGCAAAGTAGGAATGTATTTTTGATAGGCAAATCGTGCAAAGTGTTTTCTGGGGAATGAGATCCAAGCGACCTTTTGGTTTTGCTTGGTTTTTCAGATGACGCGGTTTTTCGCGAAGCACTAGGGTTGGACTTTCTGTCTCTTACAAACTCAAAAGTACACAAGACATAGATAATCGGTCCTCCTGATTAACGTGGCAATATTTATTTTCGGATAAAAGGTGGTATAACTTTGACTGCTCATTTGAAAAAATCGTACGTTTTTGTCCCTTTTCTAACCGAAGTTATTAAAAAAAGAACTAAGTACTTTCCAATTTGAATCCGCAAGTAGTTTAGATCAGCATCCATGAGGTACATGTTTCCAAAGATATGGATTCATGGAATAAACTGTTCGAAAAAGGCTACTGAAATACAGAAATAAGAAGTTTAGGGTCGATCAGCATCTGACTGTTTGAATACATATAACTAAAAATCAAACACACCAATATGGTGACCCGTGTGAAATTCTAAAAGTCTAAAAGACTAAATGCCTAAAACTCTAAAAGACTGTATGTCTAAAAGTCTAAACGTGTGAACTTCTAAAAGTCTAAAAGATTAAATGTCTAAAAGTCCAAAAGGCTGTATGTCTAAAAGACTGTAAGTCTAGAAGCCTCCAAGGATGAAATTCTAAAAGTCTAAAAGTATGCGAATGAGACATTCTAAACGTAGAAAGGGTGTAGATGTTCGAAAGCCTACAGGCGTGAAGCAGCGGAATCTCATTGCAACGTATATGTAGATATCTACTTGTATATATTGCGCAGCAGTTCAGCTGCACTGATGCAGGAAGGAAGATCGAAAGACTCAAGACTTTTAGACTTATATATTAATAATCAGACAGCTATGTCCAAACTAGAGACAAGTTCAAATAAAGCTCGACAAGCTCTACAAAATGTTGTATTTCCTTTCTCTAAACCAATAATGGTTCATGAAAAAAACGAGAAAACTGGTTTTGTTAATATGAAATATTGCGGCTTTTTAGTAAACATATCTCAGATTCGTTCCAAGAGTTGGTCCAAAGTTAAACTGCTCATTGCTGGATAGAACTCATCGAGACGCATCCAGCAGTGTCCTCTAATAACATTCATCTCAACAAGAACATCAAAAAAGTTTTCCAAAGATCTTTTTTCTCTGCGGCATTCAGGAGTAAAAAGTCCTGCAGAATTCCAAGATTTGATTCAAAGCTAAATTGCACATTGTTCGATTAAACTCATCGAAGCGCATCCAACAGTGTCCTCCGATGGGCTTGATCTCAACAAGACGATTGGAAAAGTTTCTAAAGACCGATTCTAATGTTGGTACTCGACAACAAAACTTCCTCAGATTTATCTTCTTGTTAATGAGTTGATTTGGTACTCATGAGAAGAGGCGAATCATTTGATTCGAATTTGGTACATGACCTATGTAGAAGACAGTTTATTGTAAGTTTAGTTTGTGAAACAGGCTCATACAAAAAGGAACGAGCCCCGGTATAGCGTACGAGAAAAATGAAAATTATGTATTTGGTATTTAGAATAAAAAGTCGCACATATTCAGTGAAAAGCAGAGATGAAATAGGTTTTAATAAGACAGACACGTTTAAAAACAAAAAGGTATACACAGTGCAAATATAATTAATTTTCACATCTTTTTTCGTTAATTTTTGAATGATGAAGGCTTGTTAAATCTTCTAATTCATTGTTGTGAGCCAGTAATGATACTTGAACATTAGTTTGGAGTTGACGATCAACAATTTTTGAAGTGTATCGACGTTTGTAGTTGTACTAATATGACTATTTTGGAGACGCATTCAAGATACTTGAAAGCGCTTTTCTTTTGAAATTTTTTTAAAATTCTTTCGTGGTTACTGAGCATTGTATAATTAAATATTGATTAGTTAGTCATCAGCAACTCACTAAACTTTTTCTACATCTGGCCTAGAAGGAATTTTGATCTGAAATGGATGTTACAAACTACTTTTCCAAAAGTATGTTATACTATATCTTTTTCACAATTTTTACTGTGAACTGTCCGAGGTCAGATACACATTCAGTAGAAATTAAGTATCGTGCTCTCTCTCTCTCTCTCTAACCAGTATTACTATTACTACTATATTATTCTGTTGAAAAACAATGTGAATAAAAATAAATTCTTATATCTCTTCATCATTATCATCGTGATTCATCCATTCTAATTAAATTAAAGTAAAGAAGAAGAAGAGCAAAATAAAAGGGAAGAAAACAACAGAATAGAAATGGCAGTAGCAGGAGAACATTATGATCAATTGATTGACGATGACGTTCAAAAGATGGTGATGTTAGAATAGATCGGTAATGTGGGTGGTGGAGGAAGTACGTTAGTGTTGGATGAAAAATCCGGCGATGGCGGTAGCCGGTCTCGAAGAACGTTGTATTTTGCAAAGCTCTTCGCACAAAAGATCCGTTTATTCATCACCTTTGGGCTTTCCAACTCAAAACCATCCTCCATCGTCGGAACGGTTGTCTTTCGTAAGATCGACGCTGTTTCGACGTCGTATATTGATTCATTTCAGTTTATACACTGTTATGATTTTACAACTATGTTTCAGAATTAGATTTTAATTCTTCAGTTCCTTTTGTTTGTTCTGTGTTACTTTGAATTTTCTTCCTGTCTTTGTCTGTGCATGAGAGAGTGAGTTGGCGCGAACATGTAAGTGTAAAACCCAACGGCAGAGGACTGCTCCGGCTTCAGGAAAAACACCCATAGCTCCCGAGCCATGGATTTCTAAGATGTCTATTAGATCCAGCTTTGTAGAGGACACTTCAGACTATATAAGCATGAAAACAAATCCATAGCTTCTTCCAGAGAACAGAACTGGTTTTCTCCAGGTCACCTGAAAACCCGATCTTTGAAACTTTTCTAAATTCATTTTTGCATATGAAAACACAGGTCTTGGCTAACAAATGATGAAAACCGCAAGCCTCTATCTTTTATTCCTTTTGAGTCAAGCAAAAAATAACCTCCGGTCATATATTTTAGCGTCTATAGTAGCGCAACAAACATTAAAAAGGAAAGAAGAATGAACGGAAGATTCACATAGCAGAGATCACTAGTCCTGCTCTTGAAGACTAAAAGAAAACCAAACTAACTTTGCTTAATCGGAAATATAAAAACCTTTGTTTTACTTAGCGCAGCAAATTCGTTTTCGACAAAGCACTGATTTTTAGATGAAAAAACATTTTATTTCTCGACCAGCTGGTCAAACTAATTTTCCTTCGGCCAACCGACCGGTCAAAAATTTTTGACCAGGCCGAGCTGGTTGCCGGTACCCGTTACATCTCTGATTGGGATGAAACTATGCCAGAAGTCGGTTTAATTCCCTCATTTCTAGCGAGGAAAAGCCATTCATTCAATCTCCAATAACAACGTCTGGGGAAGGTAGTAAAAAACCGATAGAAGTAGCAGCAAAAGGATCAACAAGCAAACTTCGTTTAAATTATTTATTAATTTATTTATTGTTATTGCCTTATTACTCTGCCTTGCCACTCGCCTTATTACTATTCTTGGTGCTACTACTTTCTTCATATTTGAACGTGTCCCTCAATTGGAACGCCAGCAAACTGAACTGAACTGAATTTTTATTTTTTGCAAGCATGGTTGTTGCAAAGAAAGGCTAGCTTATGCTAATGCAACACCGAAAAAAGTGAAGAAAGGAAAACGTTAGTTAATTTTCAAGAAAGTCTAACATCGATAGTAATAGCTAGAGGTGTTGTTAAAAGTGGTATGACTGAAACAAGTGCTGGCACGAAAGGAAGTTCAACATTGGGATCAAAGTTAGCAAGGGAAAAACAATGGGCACAGTAAACTTTCAAAACTCTGCGACAAAATAAAAGAATGAGGTGATTTTCTTACACCTGTCTTAGTTATTAGGGTTTATTCTTGTAAATAAAAATATTCCCATAATTCAAATAACGGCAATTGTTCATCCGTCAACTGTACCTTCTCTAAAACGTTTAACGTATCAAACTGTACACGTAGCATATAATTTGTTGTTTTTAATGTCTCATCATTACGAGTTTGAATCATAAAGAGTACTTCCCTTTTTTTTGGGTTCCATACATCTTTCATTAGTTCAATATCTTGATTTTCACTTGTTTCGAATAACATAACTAGACTTTCGTTCCTATATGGAAATGTTCCATTCTTTTTTGGATCCAAATGAAACATGAAAAGATTCCTTTCAATTGATCCATGTTGCCACGTACAGAGAATTAATTTTGTTTTCTGAATATCGTACGTCATCGTTAAGAAATTATGTACATCTGGCATGAGATGGAACTCTGTCACGATGTCTTCTTTTTTACCAACTAGATTCAAGTCCATTTTAATCCAGTATGCAATAACACTTGGATTTTCAAAACGTGTACGTACTTGTATAACCCAATTTTCATTATAATCGAACGAAGAACACCAAGCGAAGGGAAATGCATACTTTTCACCATCCTGTTTTGTATAGCCTTTAATAACATCTAGGGTTACTGTATCGTACTCTTCGATAATGTTTGTAAACGTACTCTTGTCACGTAAGCCGAAGAGACGTTTCCGAAGTGGATCATAGTAGAGAAAATGAAAGCCGCCATCTTTCAGTATCCATTTGCTTTGACGGTAAGCTTTTGTTTCATAGTTGTAGGAGAACAGGAGTAAACGTTGAAATGAGGTAGCACATTGGATAGGCATGTAGATGACATGAAGGTCAATGTTCACGGCGACGGGACCAGCCACAAAGTAGTAGAGATCTGATTTGTCCTGGACATCGAATGTAAAATTACCAACGAAGGAGAGCTTTTTTAAGTCGGTGTCGAAGACAGAGAGATTACCATAGTGTGGAAAGACATCAGAACTTTAAATGTAATGAATAGCAAGTTAATAATAGCCATTGTTAGAAATTATCGAAGAACTACTCACTCGTGATATGGTTTAATTGTATAGTATTTCGAAGTATGAACAGTAGTAGTAAAACTTAGAATTAAAACGACTAGAAATTCGAGCAACATCTTCGTGACGAATTGTGTTGTGAGGTATACTCGCTGCTACACTTCTAACTTTCTTTTTGTTTCCTTATCTAAAGTAAACAACAAAAAAAAAGTCAATTCTCATAAAAGTGAAGAAAAACATCGGCAAGTAGGAAAAAAGGTTGATGTCAGAATGAATTTGCAAGTTAGTTATCCAGGGAATAAAATTTGTTAAAGAAGTAGTCAGCTTAATAGATGTCTGTTGCTCTCAAGAACAAGTACAGTAGACTGCGCTTTAAGAAAATTATTCTAAAGCTAAGGAGTACTTAACAGAGCTATATTTATAATTCAACACGGGAATTTCAAAGACTATCCTTGAATTCATGAATCTGTTGAGACACTTAACATTTGTACAACAGACTCTAGATAAAAAACGAGGCCCATTGTTAAGTGATACTGCCGTAGACAAAAATTGTTTTGGTAAAACTGATAGGATTCTTCTCAGAATCTTGTTAGTTTCTTATATAAGATTGTTTAAGATTTTCCATCGACAGTCGTAAGTGCCTTATAAGAGTCTCATATGATTTTTCACCATTCGAGAACCAAGACTAGAGGCTACCTTTTCATAAGCAAAACTGATTTTCGATAAAGCTTTCGAAGCCGGTTTATCAGAAGATCTTTCGAAAACTAGCTAGCACTTTCTGAAATTCAAACAGGAATCTATTGACTTTTTTCATGTGCTGATAGCTCTGGTGTTCTCTTCTAAATGGGACAAAAGTGAGACCTTGATTCTGCGGTTCGGGCGTTGTATCAGATTTCCGACGAGTGCCAGGACTGGCACCCGGTGACTCTGGGTAGCCTTAAAGACGGATGGACGATGGATAATCGACCATGTCGAGTCTCGTGGCAATATTTGCTTTTAGAAAAAGTTTTGAATCTATCGAAAAGTCAGTTTTACGAAAATTAGGGTTTTCAGGCTGTTTTCATCTAATATTCGCTCACTAAACATCAGGACGAGTTCAAAATCTTAGGATATGATTAATGTTGTCCGCTGAACGTGATTATAAGATCGAAGAAATCGAAAAGCATATTTTTGTGAATAGGTTTTCCAGAAACCCTGTTGGAAAACCTTAGGGTTTTTTAAGATTTATTTTCAGATCTTCTATAAACAGGTTATAGAATAGCTTAAATACTCCACATTCTGAAGGTCTAAACTCGTTCTGATGTTTAGTAAGCGAGTAATGAATTTTTTAATATTAGGTGAAAACAGCCTGACAACCCTAATTTTCGTAAAACTGGCTTTTCTGTAGATTCTTAAAACTTTTTCTAAAAACAAATACTGCCTCGAGGCTCGACACTTTAGTCCCATTTTGAAGAGAACACCAGAGCTATCAGCACATGAAGAAAGTCAATAGATTCCTGTTTGAATTTCGGACAGTGCCAGCTAGTTTTCCGAAGATTTTCTGGTAAACCGGCTTCGAAAGCCTTATCGAAAATCAGTTTTGCGTATGAAAAGATAGCCTCAAGTCTTGGCTCTCGAATGGTGAAAATCGCAAATCTCTGTCTTTATCTAAAGCTGAGGTATTGATAAAAGTTGTTGCTAATATCACTATAACTAAAATAAAAGTCGTTGCTGTTTTATATTTATTTATTTATTATTACTATTTTAGGTTTCATTATACTTCTTTCCTTTTAGCAAGTAAGAGTCAGTTTTCGAAGATAAACTCGCCGATTTGCTTTGGAATTTCGACACGTCGAAATTGTAACGGAATTTCTGCGAATTTAGAAATTCCACGGGAATTTCGACGAACGCAGAAATTCCAATAGAATTTGTAAAATTTTAGAAATTATTTTGGAATTTTTACAACGCTCTCCAAATGCAACACCATTAAAAGTAATATCATGGCTTAGTTAATTTAATTGGGGATCAATTTAATATGGGGTAAATTTAGCAATATTTATGCAATAAAAACTACTATTACAGACAGTGCCGTCGTACAATAACAAAAAAGTTATTTCAAATTTTCCACAAAGCCTATAGAACGGTCTTTTTTCCGTCACTTTCTTAAAGTAGAGAATTTTGTCGAAATTCCACTACGTCCTTCGACAACAATATACAACAAACACTAGATGTTATTAACGGCCTAACCAAAAATTTTGTCGAAATTCCTATGTATTTTACCCGTCGGAAAAGTGTGTCAGAGTGACTACGTGTTTCGAAGCCCCGTATCGAATAGAACGCAAGTCGGTGACTAGGACAACTGAAAAAGTAGCTCCATATTTTCCACTGTCTACCAGATCATGAAGCGGTTGCTATAAGGTTTTCACCTGTGGGAAAAGTGTGTCAGAGTGACTACGTGTTTCGAAGCCCAGTATCGAATAGAATGCAAGTCTATCAAATCAGCATGGGTTCGCAAGTTATGAGACTCTCAAAAACTTGAAAGTGTCACAGTATTGTTCAGAGAATTAGTGTAGTTCATCCAGTCCCTGTAATCTGATTTGGTTTTAGCTGTAGTACAGGAAATGGGAGGTGGACAACTGAAAAAGTAGCTGTCAGATATATCATCGACAAGCGAATCATAAGCAAGAAAAGTAGACACTTTTTTAAGCATCAGAGAGAGAACAACGTAACGCCCACCCGCACTCCCTTCCCTTTACATTAGGAACTTGACTTTAGGTATATCTACGAAAGACCCTCCATGACTCTGAATAGAAAGACCACGCTCACTCCTCCATTCGGTCGACGCTCGACAGCTACTACGTACAATGCGTTATGAATATTGTTCATCAGCAATCATGCTCATACCACAATGTAGCTACATACCATGTATAGCATGTTTTAATCTAAATTTTGATATACTATTATCATTCATAATATTCAGTAGTTTCTTACCAACTCTATTAGTGATTATTTCGACACTCGCATTAGTTTACCGCTTATATTCACGTCGTAACTTGTTTATAAGCAAACGAAAATCGCATGAATTCAAACCGTTAGTTTCTTTACTTGTACAGCTTGTTATCTATGTATTCTGGTGTTTTCTATCGGTTTTTCCATTCGAAACTTATAACTTCTTGCTCACACTTGGTATTGTTCAATCAGGATCGTCAACTGTGCGCTCAATAATTGCTATTTTAACATTTAATTCAATACAAATCTATCAAATATTAACCTTTCTGATGTTTAGAACACAAGAAAAAAGCATCAAAATCAAATCAAAAAGCTAATAGGTCAGAGAACAAACTAATGAACTAATTCAACTTCTGTCAATAAGATTTGAAATGATCAAGCTACCATCGAAGATTAATGTTATACACTCGATTAATCATTGGCCTGTAACAAATGATCTTCGACTCATATATTACAATTTCCGAACGTTAGTTGACGTAAAAACAAAATGTTTTTGCAGTAAAATTCATTATCATTGAAAATTGGAAGTCTTTTTGCGTGACACAGGTATATATTCTGGTCTCTGGCAGAGTTTAAACCTGTCATTCTTTATTGCAGACAGATTTATACTAAATAATATTTTTCATGTGAATATTCTCAGAAAGAAATTCTGGAATCTGCCAGGTGGTTCGCAGGCATTAAAATTTGTATTTTTTCGGCTTTAAGTGGTTAAAATTCTTCTACTGACACATTTTTAAGACCTTATACGAGTTGATATTTCTGACGTGTTCTCTGAGGTTCTCCATGTATGTGAAAGACGTTCGAATATACTAGTTTTGTCAACGCCTATAATGTTTGTAAAATTTTTAAAAACTATGTTGGCAATTAAAAGTTGATTGACTCTTCACTGTTGTTTTCTAAAGTTTATTGTAATTATTTTTCGGCCAAAACGTAAACATAATCAAAAGCATAAAATATGATTTAGAAGACTTACAACGTGAAATTCTGGTTTTTATTCTTTTGGTCTCCACTCATGGTTCTTATTGCCATGAGTGGAGACAAAAATTTTCCGTACACCCCGATCCTCTTTTTCTTATGATCATAACTCGGTAACGAAAAAAGCTTTTGACAAGCGGTTTGCACCAAAATATTGTTCACCCTCTCTACTATATTTGCACATACAAAAAGTTAGAAACATTCATTGCTACTCTTTGTAGGCCCATTAGACAGAAAAGTGAACTTTCCCAGGTCGGCAAAATTTTCAGGATAGTTGATAAAATCTTTTTTTTATGTTGTATAAGTACAGATTAAATATGAAAACTACATCAGTCGATAGCACAGAGCGCGAGCTACATTTTGGTAAAAAGATTTTCAACGATTTTAAAAGAAGAAATTGCTGTTGTCTCCTAGTAGTCCAATAGTAACCTCACGTACTTGAAGTCCGTTTTGGCAAAATGTTTTTGAAAATTCACCCTTTAGAACTTGACTTGCGGGACAAAATAGAAGACCAGGTGGTCTTCTATTATGAGGGGAGGGCATTACATGGGAGGGCATTATTGAATAAACGTTGCTAAATTGATCCCCAATTAAATTAACTAAGCCATGATATTACTTTTAATGGTGTTGCATTTGGAGAGCGTTGTAAAAATTCCAAAATAATTTCTAAAATTTTACAAATTCTATTGGAATTTCTGCGTTCGTCGAAATTCCCGTGGAATTTCTAAATTCGCAGAAATTCCGTTACAATTTCGACGTGTCGAAATTCCAAAGCAAATCGGCGAGTTTATCTTCGAAAACTGACTCTTACTTGCTAAAAGGAAAGAAGTATAATGAAAACCTAAAATTCTATCTAATTCTGACCATGTTTTACTGGCAATATGATTCATAGTTTGAATAAACAACAAATGAATTAAATAACGTATTTGGCTCTTAATATAACCTGTATTCTTCGAAATCAATTGGAAAAAGAAAGAACTTATTATGCAGTTGTTCATTACAATGAAAGCTTTCGTATGATATTAAAAAAGTATGCCTTGTGTACAACCCATTTCGTCGAAATCGCGACATGTTTGACAATTAGTCGCGATCCACGAAAAGAATCGACAATTAATCGCAGTTCTTCGTAAATTAATTGGGATTAGTTGTCGATGTTAAGCGATTAAATTGTTTGTTGTGGATTGTGACCGAATTTGCGAAACAGTTTCACGATGCCTTTTGTTTTAAGATTTTTGTTTTTTTCGAGAAATATCTCCGCTTTTATATATTTTTCTACTAGATACTTTGCTCTCACACACTTCCCTAGTATATCATACAATGTTAGAAGATGATTCTTTTTTTATTTTCTGAAACAGAGAATTTGATAACAGAGAAATTGATTAGAGAGAAAATGGTTTCTTGATTGGATGATTTGTAGCCGAAAAGTTACTTAGGGCATACCAAAAGTAATGCCGCCATCACTTTATTTCCTTATAGAAAGCTTGAAGAAATTTTCTTTTTTTATGCAATTACAGACAAAACGATGCTCTATTTTTCTATGCTATTTCATCACTATTCATCACAAAGAAAAAAAAGAGCTGTTTCTTACGATATGTCATGGTTATATGAATGCTGATATTTTTTGAATGAGTTTTGATAGACACATGGTAGAGAGCTGCGATTTTCACCATTGAAAAGAAGAGAAGAAGACGCATCGAACCGTATATTACGAATTTTTTAACCGGTTTTTTGTAAGGTTTTCAGTTGACCTATTAAAAAACAAACCTTTCTCGTGGGTTGTTGACAGTGAATTTTCAATAATCAGGTTCACATTCCAACCGCTACTCAAAGATCTGCAAACTGTGAAAGACTGAGGTGTTTGAATTTAATTATTTAGGGATAATATGTATTCTAGTCGAACCTCTAAACGATTAGTGACCATTGATAGTACAGGTCAACTTCAATTTCTATATATTACTGATGAAAAGTTTTGTAACGTCTCTTCACGTATTTGTGTCATTTGTGTAAATTGTAAGAAGGATGAGATTCAAACATTTGAAGAACATTTCAACGAATTAAAAACGCAACTTGGACCAAATTATTTAATTGTATATCCGGATAAGTATGCTATCAGAAATATCGATGAATTATTAGATACTATAAAACGTAATTCGGTTTATTACATGATCGTTAGAGGTACAGCTGACGAATGTTTCGATTCAGATAATATATCATAAAATTTAGAGAATTATTTACAATACTGCAATGAATCTAAAAAACATATAATACTATATTCAGATGGAACAAAATCCATCATGTAAACATCAATCAATGTTACCAGATCAAATCCCGCACATTCGTGAAGAGTTAGATAAAGCAAAACCTCGTATAATACGACAACAAATGAATTTACTCTATAGTGAAATGCAAAAGATGTATGACAGACATTGTGAATCGAGTAAGTTCAAATGATGATGTGTGTCCGTTTCATTCAAATTGAAATTTTTATTTATTTTAGATAAGACTGATATAATTCCAGTTCTTAAACTTGTAAATATAAGTTAATTTCAGAGATCTATTTCATATGAGAGTGATCAAGGTCACGATGATTTACTATGAAATTATTTTCTGAAATATGCTGATATGTATTTCGACATTTTTAGTTCATTTTCATTTTTTTGGTGAAAACCTCGATAATTTTTCAACGTGAATAGTAGATGGCTCTCTATAAGCTTTTTCAGGTAGAGTATATAGTTTCTGTGACTACCTTCACGGAGTATAATTTATGTTTCCACCGCGATCGACGGCGATGAAAATCGGTGGTGACATAGGATGCTATTACGAGCAGAATTCCGACTTTTGCGCCTCTAATTTAGAAAAGAACTATAGAAACTAACATCAGATAATACGGAAACATTGTCAAATCCTTAGGTTTATTCAGTTTTTAATTCTCTACCTACTGGCATTTGAATCAAATTTTCGTTGAATCAGCTCTTTTCTGAGCCGAGTTATTTCAATTTTAAAAATAGTTGAACTTTTTAAATGTTAAATTATAGTAAAAAGTTCAAAGTTTGACTTGGAAACTTGATTTTTTTTCAGAATATTCGTCTTTGAACAGTGAATCCAAATATCATCTTCAAAATGTTCCATCTCTTAACGGTGACTTTTAAAAGTCATTCCATTCAACTCCTATACGCCAAAAACCACGGTTTTCTGAAAGTGGTACTTTAAAAGGTTTTGGAGGAAATTTTCTTGAGACGAAAAGAATGAGGACATCGTGAAACCTCTAAATCCTGACTTTCATAGCACCATATGCACCGACGTAGAAGTTAACTTAGACCAACTTTCTTGTGCAAGTATTGTAGTAAAGTATTGTTTAATGATTTTCATTACAGTTCTACTGGGAAATGTCGAGCTCCGCATAGTACTTCTAAAAGTCTCGGATTAAGATAAGCGAGTTCGATCTTCTTGGAGTCCGCTAGGCTCGAGTCCGAGTCCATTATACTTTCTTAAAGTTGTTTACGATTTTTGATACTAGAATTCTTTAATTTTTCTGACTTCCTTGCAAAAAGCTCTATCTTTATTTGATTTTTCAGCGTGTTTCGATTCCAGTGACGGGAGCCACTTCAGGTTATATTGCTTTAATTTCTTCAAAAATAAAATTGTATATTTGGCCCTAAAAATCCACGGACTAAACGATATAACAGGTGCCTTTATAAAACGGCCACTTTTGTTTTCCCTTTTTAGGCACTTTCCTATAGTTCCAAAATTCTGTTTCTGGCTCATTCGATCGAGAATTTTCTGCTCTACAAAACCAGATCTAGGAAAGAAAGAAAATGTTTTCGAGTCTCAATTCATAAAGAATTTGTCGCCATTCGCCAATAGTTTCAGGGTATTGGCGAAAGAGGTAACATTATTGGCGAATGTTGATTGATAGACTATCTTCGCAAAAAGTGACTAAAAAGAACGTTTGTTTCTTTCACAAAAATTAAGGCTCCTTTACAAAAACATTATGATATTATTTTGAGAAAAAAAATAAAGAGGACAGAGAAACAACAACAGAGAGTCTAAGAAAAGAATAAATTACGAACCGTCTAGGTTCGTAACACCCTTCCCCTCCGTGAAAACTGCGCATATACACACTTGTGAAAGAGCAATCGTAACAAAATCATTTCAGAGGAAACAGCAACGTAATGTGCAGTATGAAAAAATTAAGCTCATATCAAAGGTTGTTTAATAAAGGGAAGAGGTGAAAGAAGAAACTAGACTATCACGCGCGAAGTGATAGTCTCTTATTTTTAAACATTTAATAAGGACTATTCAATGAATACTGTGGATAGGTATTGGCGAATATCGTCGAGACATTCGCCAATAGTTCAGGGGTATTGGCGAAAGAAGTATCACTATGGGCAAATATCAGTTGGTGACTGTCTCGGCGATATTCTCCGATCGCCAATATGGCGAAAGTTGAACTGACGAAGCACACTTTGCCATTCATGAATGACATGAACCTTTTCGAACCATTCATCTTACAGGTTTCAAAAAAATTTGAATTTCTTCTGCTTCTTAGTCAAAAGAATGTCGACAAGAAAACATTCTGTCGAAGAATCCAATGCATGGGCACACTTCGCAAAAATATTTTGTTAGAATAATCTTGCCAACACCTACGTTTGGATATAATGAGTAACCTTTAGATTTTCGACACATGAGTTTTGTAGAAAACCTTTGAAAAACGTTAATTTTTGAGTCAAGAATCTTTGAGTATCCTGGAATGGCACAATGGAGATAATGTGCTGGTGCGGTTGATCATAAAATGAAAAGAAATATTACCTTTTTGGACATCGAAGACGGAAGCAGTCTTATAATCCAGAATTTAGACCACCTGGTCTTCTATTTTGTCCCGCAAGTCAAGTTCTAAAGGGTGGTCTTCTATTACGGTCAAATGCTGCCGCCTGCTACTAGTCCAACGGTAGCCTCACGTACTTGAAGTCCATTCCGTATTAGAAGTACGTTTTGGCAAAATGTTTTTGAAATTCACCATTTAGAACTTGACTTGCGGGACAAAACAGAAGACCAGGTGTTATTAAGTGCTATTATGGGAGGGAGGGGGTTACATGGGATTTTCAAAGAAGAAATTCTGCAAGATTCCGGAAACACATCTGACGACTACTGTAAGTGTAAAAGTTATTCACCATACCGTCATCTTCGAAAAGGTTTACTAATCTGCTTTTGGAATTTCTGCCTTAGAATTTCGACAGATTGTGACAAAAGCAGGGATTCATTTGGAATTTTTGCTTTTTCAGTAATATTTTCGGAATTTCGACAATTATTTCGCCAAAAAATAATGGGATCAAAGTAATTTGGACAAAATTTTTGGTTAGGCCGTTAATAGCATCTAGTGTTTGTTGTATATTGTTGTTGAAGGACGTAGAGGAATTTCGATAAAATTCTCTACTTTAAAAACGTGACGGAAAAAAAGACCGTTCTATAGGCTTTGTGGAAAATTTGAAATAATTTTTTGTTATTGTACCACGGCACTGTCTGTAATAGTAGTTTTTATTGAATCAATGTTGCAAAATTTACCCCATATTAAATTGATTCCTGATTACATTAACTAAGCCATGATATTACTTTTGATGGTGTTGCATTTGGAGGGCATTGTAAAATGCCCTCATTCCAAAATTGGACATTCCAAAACAATTTCTAAAATTTTACAAATTCTATTGGAATTTCTGCGTTCGTCGAAATTCCCGTGGAATTTCTAAATTCGCAGAAATTCCGTTGCAGTTTCGACGTGTCGAAAATCGAAAGCAAATCAGCGAGTTTACCTTCGAAAACTGACTCTTACTTGCTAAAAGGAAAGAAGTACAATGAAAACCTAAAGTTCTACCTAATTTTGACAATGTTTTACTAGCAATCTAATTCATAGTTTGAATAAACAACAAATGAATTAAATAACGTGTTTGGCTCTTAATATAACCTGTTTTTTTTCGAAATCAATTGGAAAAAGAAAGAACTTATTATTATCATAATCTTTAATTACTTTTATTTTAACTATAGAGATATGAGCAACGACTTTTACCAATATCTCAGCTTTAGATAAAGATAGACTTGCAATTTTCACCATTCGAGAGCCAAGACTTGAGGCTACTTTTTCATGAGCAAAACTGATTTTCGATAAAGTTTTCGAAGCCGGTTTATCGGAAAACCTTTGAAAAACCAGCTAGCACTTTCCGAAATTCAAACAGGAATCTATTGACTTTCTTCATGTGCTGATAGCTCTGGTGTTCTCTTCAAAATGGGAGTAAAATGAGACCTTGATTTTGTGCGGTTTGGGCGTTGTATCGGATTTCCGGCGAGTCCCAGGACCGGCACCCGGGTGACTCTTGGTAGCCTTAAAGACGGATGGACGATGGATAATTGACCGTGTCGAGTCTCGTGGCAGTATTTGTTTTTAGAAAAAGTATTGAAAATCTACCGAAAAGCCAGTTTTACGAAAATTAGGGTTTCCAGGCTGTTTTCATCTAATATTAAAAAGTTCATTATTCGCTCACTAAACATCAGAACGAGTTCAGACCTTCAGAAAGTGGAGTATTTAAGCTATCCTATATCCCGTTTATAGAAGATCTGAAAATAAATCTTAAAAAACCCTAAGGTTTTCCAACAGGGTTTCTGGAAAACCTATTCACAAAAATATGCTTTTCGATTTCTTCGATTTTATAATCACGTTCAGCGGACAACATTAATCATATCCTAAGATTTTGAACTCGTCCTGATGTTTAGTGAGCGAATATTAGATGAAAACGGTCTGAAAACCTTAATTTTCGTAAAACTGACTTTTCGATAGATTCAAAACTTTTTCTAAAAGCAAATATTGCCACGAGACTCGACATGGTCGATTATCCATCTTCCATCGGTCTTTAAGGCTACCAAGAGTCACCGGGTGCCAGTCCTGAGACTATCGGTTCCAAAATAGAAGGCGGTGTTTGCTTTTTGAATAACTATTGATAGAAATGAGACAGAAACGTGCGGTTTTCGCTGTCCGATAGCCAAGACTTGAGCAAAGCTTTTCGCAAGCAGACAGAGTTTTTGGGAAAATTTCAAAGATCGAGTTTCTGGAGGATCTTTGGAAAACTAGATGATGGTTTCCAAGACTGCCATAGGACTATGCCGATTTTTCTAGATGGATAGATAGCCTGGGGTGTCCTCTACAGAACTGGATCCAAGTGACATCTCCAAAGTCTGCGGTTCAGGCCTGGCAAGGCTTTTCCCCAAGCACCAAAACTGACCTGCTGTTAGCGCCGAGACCAGTCAAAATGATTGTAAACATAGCTTCTCGACTATGCAGAATCTCGTGGAAATGTTTATTTCGTTCCTAGACTAAATTTAGAGCGATTGATGATATATAATTATCAATTGTATGGGTTTTAACCATACAAAAACGTGCTTTTTTCATGTTTTTTCTTTTCTTATCAACTGAATGTAAAATATTATGCAAAAAGAACTTGATTGTACTATGACAAATCAATGGTCAGCATCATCATCACTGTCAGACTGCATTTTATCGTTACTATTATCATCATCACTGTCAATAATTTCATTTTCTAATTCTTCGGGAATTCTATCGGCATTTCTAAATATGTTTCTTTGCTTGCCTAAAATAGCTATCTGCATGTTCTGTCTCACAGGCTGACAACCATTCATTGCACAGCTGGCTGAGATCGTTAAGACTAAAACAGACATTTAGTGTCCTAACATAATTTTTTGAACCGGACCAAGAAGTTCGATCGGATTTAAAACAAAAGTACGCTCGATTATTACGTGGCCAGAAAACAAAAAAGAAATTGTTTTGATACACTTTTTTCTTTCCTTTCTGATCGCCTAAAACTACTATGTTTATCGGAATACGAACAATTTCAATATTATATTTTCTTGCCACTCGATTTACAGGATATTCTTTTCGAGGAAAATTTTGAAATGCTGATTCTAACAACTCGGCTTTTGTCGTAAACGTTTCAGATTTTATTCTGTGTCGCTGTAACCATTCGGCAATGAATGACTTTCGCCAAGCTCTCTTTGGCGGCTCTAATGCCGGTGTCGGTGGTTGTGCCTTTTTTGTTTGACCATACTTGAAACCCATTTCTGTTAATTCACGTTGTAATGAAGTCTTGGATGTGACAGGAAAATCCGGCTCTTGAGCTAACAGTGTGGACAATAAATTTTGTAAAGTTGGATATACTCTAACTTTTAACAAAAAGTGAAATGTTAAACGAATTGTGTCATTTTGTAATTCAGTTGCATGTACTTTACGTCATCCAGCATTATGTTTCATTGGTGAAGATGGTGTCGGTAAAACTGTAGTAACAGAAGAGGATGATGTGCAACGAAAGCGGACGGACAGTCTCTCCTTCTTCTTGCTTCAGAGTTTTCAATTCATTCTTTAATCGATAAACTGATCTTTCTGGTATACCAAGCATAGTTTGGAGTCTATCATTCACATTGTGAAACAGAATTGTTGTGAAGGTTTTCTCATTTTCCACGAAATTATAACTAAAAATGCGACATGCTTAAACTCTTTTGAGAACTCCTTTGGCATTATAAATACTTATCTCGTTTTTTCGGTTATAATTCAAAAAATCGTCCGTGCGCACTTTTAGTTTTTCTTCCAAAATATTTTATTGGCTTATGTTTTATCGTTCAGTTACAGTAACGTTCTAAGTCTTTTGACAGCGATTGATTATTCTGACCATACTCATGGATATTCTGTTACTCTGATACATCGAAGAAAACATTTATTTTGCATGATATTTTACATTCAGTTGTTAAAAATCGAAAAAAAAATGAAAAAAGCATGTTTTTATACGATTAAAAGCCATACAATTGATAATTATATATCATCAATCGCTCTAAATTTAGTCTAGGAACGAAATTGTGTCCGCTAGTGAAAGGTTTCGCTCAAATCTTGGCTATCGAACAGCGAAAACCGCACGTCTCTGTCTCTTTTCTATCAATAGTTATTCAAAAAGCAACCACCTGCCTTGTATTTTGAAACCGATAGTAGCTATGTGTTCTCCTTTGCTTAGAACTTATAGTAAATTAGACATAAGTCACATGCTAAATAAATACAACAATGGATTCAAAGCCATCAAACAACATATTCACTGCACAAACAACAACAGATAATGTGCAAACTTCACTTTATCGGACAAAGATTATTGTGCAACAAGGTTTAGAAAACTTTCAAATCGTTTGGCCTGATGCTAATATCAATAAAACAGACGATAATTTACAAACAATAGCTCTACTACGTGCCACTATTAATTATCTAAATATATTTGGTAATGTTTGTGACTGTTATGACTGCATAACCGGTGTTCAAAATAAAAAAGTATTTTTAATTGTATCAGGTTCAGTTAGTCAAGATATAATATCATATACCGATCAAATGCCACAAATTCAATATATTTATGTATCTAGATTTTTCCCATAGGTGATGTTTGCTTGGGAACAGTTTTTCAAAATTCTCGTTTCGACCATCAGTCGAAAATGTTCCATACCTATTCTCTGCAACTATAGTAGAAAAATGGTAATGATGAACTTTCTCAACTCTATTCCTTCTTTAACTTCACTCAGTTTCAATCACCATTGCAATATCAGATTTTATGTAATCTGTTTGTAATTCAAGCTCTGATCAGAACTAAGTTTGCCAAAGACTTGTCAGAAGCGAAGCCACAGAAAAAGATCACCGTCAACCGAGTCTTTTCTCTGGCTTGGGTGCGCAATGTTATTTAGATGAATGTACTTCATGTCATCGATCTACAATTTATCCATTTTCCATTGCTAAAAACAGAGATCTGCAACCCGACCCGACCCTAGGGTCGGGTTGAACATTGTGCGACGCAATTTAAAATATAAACAATAATTTCAATTTTGTATTAATTGTTGAAAAGTTAACTCTACTGGAATTTTCAGTTGAAATACTTATTTCAGAACAACTGCATTCGCTAACGAGGTATGGTCTTCAGATACCCAACTCCGTTTTTAATGATATTATGCCAGTTAGTAGAGGAAAGTGAGGAGATAAAAACACTCAAAGGAGGACCCATATCAGTTCTTTCAAAAGTTATGAATTTTTTTGTTCTAAAGGAACACTATGTGTAGTAACAGTAATAAGTCTGTAACCCACTCAGAACAAAGATGTGAAATTATCTTTTGTACTTTCGCTAATAGTCTGCTCATATTATGCTCAGACAAGTGAAAATCATGAAATAAAGTTACCAGCTTCTCATCACGCTTCTCAGACACAAAAAACAATTTTCGAATACATTATAGTTTCAGAAAATAAAAAAAGAATCATCTTCTAACATTGTATGATATACTAGGGAAGTGTGTGAGAGCAAAGTATCTAGTAGAAAAATATATAAAAGCGTTTGATCGGAGATATTTCTCGAAAGACACAAGAATCTTAGAACAAAAGGCATCGCGAAACTGTTTCGCAATTTGGGTCACAATTTTTGTATCTACATATATTTGTTTGACCTTTTTCATTGTCCACTTTCGATGTTTTCGAGTGCCGTATATATATATGTTCTTCGCAAATTAATCGGGACTACTGCTGAAAGTGGGGAATTTTGATTTAAGGCGTGAAACAACACTCTTGTGAGAGAAGAATGAGGAATTTCGGTTTCCAGATTTAAATGGATCTTTTAATTTTATTGTACTGAAGCCAAAGAAAAAAATAAGATATTTTTGATAACAGAGAAAATGGTTTCTTGATTGGATGACTTGTAGTCGAAAAGTTAGATTTGTTGTGAATTGAAACGACGATGCTGTCGCCTTCTTCTAATTCAAACCTAAACAAGTATGTCACTTTTACTTCAATTCAACTTTTTTTCTAATTTTAATCTACGAATGTTATCTTCTGCCGTTTTGGTAAACTCATGGGAGGGAGGAAGAGTTTTTCGAAATATTTGATGTGCTTTTTCATAATATTCCATTGCCTTTTGATAATCACACATATTTTCATATACAACGCCAATATTATCGGACATCATTGCAATATGGTGATGAGAAGCTGGTAAATTTATTTCCTGATTTTCAGATGCCTTAGCATAATATCGTAAAGCTAACTCATATTCACATTTTCCGACATGTGAAAGAGCAATATTACCATAAGTCTTGGCAAAATCAGAATGATTTACAGGAAGTGTTTTCTGCTGAATATCAAGTGTTTTGCTATAATAATTTAAAGCAGTATCATAATCCTTCATACAATTATAAACCAAGCCAATACGCATGTAACATTGAGCAACATCTGGATGATTATATGAGTATAATTTTTCTCTCAATTCCAAAGCTTTCCTTAGGCTATTGAGTGCTTCATCATAGTTTCCATTACGCAAATCAGCAGTTCCTAACCCACACAAACTGTCAGCCATTGCTATCTGGGATTCATTTAGGTACTGTTCATAGTACTTAGCTGCTTTATCATATTCACCCATTTCGAGTAGAATCTTTCCTAACGAATCTAAATTCGTTTCCTCTCCAATTTTGTCTTTATAATGTGAAAATAAATCTTTCATATCGTAATCATCTTCATTGGCCAATGAAACGGACGCAACCCAAGCAAAAAAATGCCTTTGAGATTATCTAGCTATAAAAATATGTTATCGGGCAATATCGGCTTGTGATAGCTAGCTATCCGTACCACTTTTATTGAGTTAGCTAGCTATATCGAGTATGATAGC